GGGTGTTAGGAACAGAATGATCTCTACACCCGCAGCCACCCACACGTCCACTGCCACACCCACAGCCACCTACCCCCACACCCCACACGCCCACAGCAACAGCCACACCTCACCTACCTCTAGAAAGGAAAAAAGATGGATTTCAGCGTGAAAGCTGCGCACGTAGTGAAATTTTCCAGATATCAAATGGTATTTTCACTTGTATGTGACTGAATGTTGAAGCACTGCTAATCAGTTCAACGCAAGGCGAGCTGTTTTAACGCTTAGTTTATCATTTTTCAGGGAACCAGAAACCTGACTAATCCTATAAGATGTTTGAGCTACGTTAGAGATTATCTAGACTTAGAGGAGTTTTCAATCAAAAACACAATGTCTTGTCTTCAAAATGAAACTTTCTCGTTTATTTTTCAGAGTGATTGCCTTTGGTTAGAATATATTCCTTATTATAAAGTGAGAGTGTATCTATTAGTCCATAGCTTCGTTGTTCGTAGCTTTATAAAGAGACATTAATATTATGCCCTTGAATTGCTTCTGAAATCTATTGTTTAGAGTCAGGCGTATCTTTGACGGTCGGATTTCCATTTAAGGTAGAACTTATTCAACAATGATGCAGCTAGTTTCGACATTCATCTCAGCCTCACTGATAAGAACTTTTATCTTCGACTTCCGGTTAGAGGTTTGCCCATAAAGCAATCTAAGCAAATCCATGTCATACGTGGAGCCTACGGACTTGGTCCATTATTGAGTTATCCGTTGACATCAAATAATATCAAGCCTTACATAAATACATATTGCACAGATACATTTAAGATACGTAGAACTGTACGAACTCTATAGAATTCATCGTGGGGTGTGGGACTATGTGGATGTTGGTATGGCTGCCGATGGCGGAAGAGCAACGCCCAAACTCGCATCAGCGTATACACCCGCCACACCCATCTAAACACCACACATTCACACCAGAGAAGAGCATAGGACAAGATTTTCTCTCCTGTCGCGCCCTGTCCTGCTAGCTATCTCTGTCCTGGCGAGAGACAGGACAAGAAGTCTCGATTTTTGCCATTTTTCTGCCAATTAAGTCCGTTTTCAGAGGTTGTAAAATGCCAAGAGTGAGAGTTTTAATTTTACTTTCATTGTACAAAGCAAATATCAACAATTAATATTTTCTAACTAATGCATTTTACATAGTTTTCAAGAAAAAAAAATATTAGAAATGAGCACAGGACAGGGCACCAGGACAACAGGACCGTCCTATCCAGTGCTCATCTCTGATCCACACCCACCCAAACACCCCACAATCACACCAACATTCACACCCACGTCCATATTCCGTCTGCACCCACCGACACCGACACGCAAGCCCACACCCACTCCACACCCTCTTAAAAATTTACATCAATAGATATTTTTGGAATACTCGGTATTGTAGATTAAGGAAGAATTAATAGAGAGTTTATTTGAAAATTAAATTAACACAAGAGATTTATATGAACTTTTTGAATTATTCATGCATTCAGACTACAAAAAACAAGATTGATTGACTTCATGGAATGAAAAATTAATACAGAAAAGGATAAAAGAAACTTGTCTTCTGTTCTCCTTATTTAGCATTCATATTGATCAAGATTCTCGTATTTGAGTACGTTAACTATACGGGTTGGAGGTTTTGACAGAATTTCATTATCGTGTTGGACATGAAATTCCCAATTTCGAATAGGATATTGAACGTGTTCAAATGGATATTCAACCTCCAATATTTTCCCATTTGCCTTTATCACTTTAACGTGTGTAACTATTTTAACCCACTTACAGTATGATTCAGGTAGATCGGGTTGAAAAAATTGCCGAGGGAAATAATGCTCTGAGTTAGCAGGAATAGTCACATTGACCAGTTGATCAAATTTTTCTTCTCCTGGACGACCACTATACTGTAGAGTACACTCGATAGATTGTGCGGTCCCATTAACAACAAAACACGAATAAACATGAGGTGGAGCACGCGGCATTTTAAAAGGCATCGATTGATCAGAAACATCGTTCTTAGATATTCCATTGTTACTTATTGAGCCACCATTCAGTTTATCGTATGATAAACTTGCATCAATCTGTCCATTCTCCAACTTCGAGTTTGTCGACATTGTTCACTAAAATAGTAAACTAAAAATAAAACTTACACTTAGTATTTTCTTTTATTTTCATGTTTAAAAGAAAAGATATTATAACAATACACTATATCCGGGAAAAAAATGAGAGAAACTTGTCACATATAAAAAAACAAGCAACAAAAATATGAAAAAAAGTAATAAACAATCTTAATTTCGACAATGTCAAACCAGTCTTGAATATGTTTAAGAGTCCATAAGAGGCACGAGATACGAAAAACAGATCATATTCAATGATATACTACATCACTCCTAATATCATTCCTAAAGATATTTTTCGTACCTGTAAAGACATTACACGTGCTTTCATCTCTTGATTCGTGCTCGATTCTTTCCAAAATCTAATATACGTATGTCCTACTACATACGCAGTATTTATCGGTCATAGATCAGCAATTCACGAAGTAGTTGACGAATTTAATACTGATAAAAATTTCATCAACTGAAATCTATACGATCTTTACTACTATTCTGCTATCAGGAATGAAGAAATACTATAATTTGTTCGGCACAATAATGTCAAAAAGCCTTCATCAATGAAATATCTAAAGAAATTGAAGTTTACATCTCAAATAGAGTATAACACCAAAGCTATAGTTACAAACTCAGAAGACTAGGTACAACCGATTAGTTGTCGTATAAAAAATGAGCTTCTAAATGGAACTAAAAACCTCAACACGATAACCACAACACGTTTCTTTTTTGTGCCGATGTTAGGCAAACATGTAATATTAGCATACCTCACTTTACGAGCTTCTATCTTGATGATAAAGTGCATAGACCTTATAAAAAGCCTGAGTACATACGGTATTCGATCTTTCATTTTTTGCAAATTAATAAATAAGCGAAAGAATGAAAAGATTCACACGGCGATGTTGAGAAAATATTGAAAGAAAAGAGATTAAGTGATTAAGTGTCACATTTACTTCGAAAAACAAGAAGAAATAGAGAAACTAACTGATTTAGTTGCGTACAGTAATATTGAGAACATATAAAAGAGAGAAAATTATTGCTGTCCCACACTGATATCGACAATATTCAAAAGGAGGGTCAGTGATCGGTGTAGCACACCGATGTCGAAAAAAACATTGAAAGAAACCAAAAGAAGTGATTAAGTATCTCGTATTCACCAAAAACCAATGAAAGGTAGAGAGATTAAGCGGATTGGTTACTTACAGTAATGTCAATAACATTCAACAAGAAAGATTGATTGCTGTCGCACATCGATGTAAAAAAAAACATCAGTAAAAGAAAAACGACGAAGTGATGAAGTATCGCGCATTCATTGACAAACAATAAGGGGCAGAAAGATTGCCTGGTTATTATTACTTTTGTTAATACCCAATATCTTTAAAAAGAGAGACATCGATTGATATGGTACACTAATACTGAAGGGCATTAAAAGAAATGAAAAGTGAGTGTATAGCAACACTTGTCTCTGCTCCTTCGCAGTTGGTGCAGGTAAGTCTTTGGCTCTGATGTATCAAAGCGCAGCTTCGTAGAAATTGATATGTTCCAGTTTCTTTATATAATGCAGTTTTCAACTTGGAAAATGATATCTTATACAGATGAAGCAAATCACTAAATAACTCTTAAGGATTTTGTGATATAGTTTACCGTTGAAACATACTGAAATGGTTCCCAACAGTTTGCTTACGATTTTCGTGTGTTCATACCATTTAAAATTAAAGAAAATCGTGCATTAAAATTATCTGAAATGTCATCACTGGGAATATAATTTAGGTCCACGATCTTTAGCAGTTTGTTATTTGCTGTAAGTTCACAGATGTCTAGGTCCTGGGTTTTGTTGATAGAGCTCAGCAGGTCACTAGTATTCATCGTTTGGGGAAAGCGAAAGCAGATTTCTGTGTTTATATTGTGGAATCAAATATACTATTTTTGCACTATAATGTGTTACTTAATATTAAGAAGACACAGATGTAGAACTCTGCTACAGTATAGCTTTGGGCTTGGGCCAAGATAAGACCCGCACTTTCATCTACATTCTTATACACACACAGCGCATCCACATCTTCAGAAATAACTATGTAGCAACACGTCCTTAATCACAATCACATCCTCTCACTATTTGGATATTTTTAGTTTATGCTCACACCGTATATTCCTAAATTATAGAAACTATGCAAAACCACTTTTCCTAACATTCAGATGTCTATGACTCATGCCGACTAAAATTGTGCTAAGATCCATTGTACATTGCTGCTGCAATGCTACTGCTTGGTATTACATTGGCACATAAGTTCTGAGCGTTTCCTTTTCTGGTTCAACAACAACTTCATGTTTCAACAAAGATATGCAACATCAATCAACAATATAATCGCCATTGTTTTCGAGAACCTTAGCTCATCTTACTGGCAATAGTTTAATTCCGCGTTTGTAAAAACTAGCCGATTGTAATTCGAAACAGGCAGTGAGGTCAGACTTTAGCTCATCGAAGTCTTCATAGTGTTTGTTGCACAGATGGTGATGAAGGGATTGGAACAGATGACAGTCGGATGGCGCAAGATCTGGCGACCAAGGCGAGTGCGCATGAAGTTCCCATCCAAACTGTTCGATTTTTTGCGGAGTCAACTTTGCTACATGAGGTCGGCTGTTGTCATGGAGGAGGATGACGCCTTTTGATCCACCAAAGCAGGTAGCTTTTTAAGTAGAACTTCATTCAATCGCTGCAACTGTTGAGAATAGACATTGGCGTTAATCGTTTGGTGGATATCTAAGAGCTCAAAACATATGACACCTTTCATATCTCACCAGATGTACAACATTATCTTCTTTGGATGCAAGTCTAGTTTTACATCGGGAAATGGCCTTTAACTAGGCTAAAGCCATTGCATTATACGGCGAACTTTGACATAATACATCCATTTTTCATCTCCAGTGACAATTCGTCCCAAAAATGTCTCATGCTTCTGTTGGGAAAGCATTCAAGCACAAATCGATACTCGCTGAATCAAGTTGTCTATGGAAAATTGGTGTGGGACCAAACGTTCGTACTTATTTACCTTGTCGAGAGCATGAAGGTGACGCTTTAATGTCGTGTGGGAACAGTTGAGTTCTTCGGCTAATTCGCGTGTGGTTTGACGTGGATCAGCGCCGAGCACACTTTGGAACGCTTCATCGTCAAAGTCCGCAGGTCGCTCGGAGCGAGGTTTATCCGTCAAGGTGGTATCTTTGGAACGGAACTTGGTAAACCATCGGTGCCAAGTCGAACTGCCGACCGCTTCCTTGCCATATGCTGCAAGAATATTCTTTGTTGCTTCAGCTGCTGTTGAACCTCGATCGAACTCGTAGAGCATACAGTGCCGAATATGAATTTTTTGTGGAACTCACATATATTTTCGAAGAAAATAGTGAGTGTAAGTGTTAAGTTCAAGGTTTCGCGGCTCCCTCTCTCCCCTTACAGACAGGCTTCCATTACAGACCATAGCAACGTAGGTCTCTATTACAGACTTTAGCGACCAGGTTTAAAATAATAGATATACATATACATATATATAATAGTTTCATTCGCCATATAATTCAATACTTCTTATAATACAAATGTAAAATCAAAGAAAGAAAGCAGTGTTAAAAATGAAAAATACTGAGCGAATACCAACAAAGAAGACGAAAAATAAGAGCACCTGTCAGAAATTTAAAAAATTCGTCATTTTATATTATCCATATTGCATATTAGTATAATGAAGCTAAAGTGTATACATGAGTTCCACATTTCAGCCCCAAAGGGGCTGCGCTAACAAGCTTTGTTTATCCATGTAATGTCAAACAAGGCAACAGCAGAACAGAAGAGGACATGTGTGTATGTATATGTATAACGATAATAGTATCACGCATTACAAAATAGACAATAGAAATATTATAACGTAATAAGAACAGGAATGTTCAAGGTCAATATCAATGTTTTTTTGATCTTGAGAGAACAGAAACGAATGTACAGTAGTGAGATGAAACAAAATGAAAGAGCTAAAGAAATATACATGTATACAATTCGTAAGGAAGGATAAATCCTTTACAATATCAAAATAATCGAGAGACTGTTCTCTTTCAAAAGACGTATTATTCGAGTTATCATGAAACATGAGGAAAAAAGACAGATCTATTGAAACCGGGTCCAAAACATGCAAACCTTACAAAGGTAGAATTGAACTATTTCTAGCAAGATAAATGAAGGTTGTCGAAAACAATGATGATTATATTTTTGATTGATGTTGCATATATTGGTTGAAAAATAAAGCTGTTGTTGAACCAGAAAAAAAACGCTCAGAACTTATATGCCAATGTAGTACAAGTCTCAAAATTTCACTGCGCCAACACAAATATCTACTAGCTATCATATGTTACATAACAACATCCAACTTCTTCTCACTAAGTGCGGTAGGCACTCATAAAGTACTATAATGGGTATGTGGGCGAGTGGGTGTGGGGTGTGAGGTGTGGGTGTCGATCTCGGTGTTGGACTGAGTGATTGTGTGTGGGTGTAGTTGTCGGCGAAGAGAATATCTACACCTACATCCGACGCCCACCCACAACTCACAACCACCCACACTCACACTCAAACCCACATCCACACAGATTCTTTGAATTTGGGCCGAAGCACTAAGGATATCTAGATTCCTAGGAACGGGAACTCACACTAGGTTCGGGATTCATAGAAATGAAACAATAGATTGATACCCCACAGTACAAGATGCAGGTCTGGGTTTCGAAGTGACTTTGAGCTTTGGGATATGATTGTGGCCAATAGAGTTTCTACTTGCTTCATTCCATTTCTACACCCACATCGAAACCCTCCTCTAGCCGCACTCACGGGACAGCTATTGAAATTTTAGCAAATATAATGACTTCACATAAAAAAGGTAAAAAACAAAGATTTTAGGTGACAGTGGTGGGACGACCATGTTGCCGCATGGTGGTGTTACTGTATGAAAGTGTCTCGCACGGAAATATTACGCTTG